CATGTGTCTTGCTACATTCATCTTGTACGTGGAGAAAATGATGATTATTTAGAGTGGCCATTTCAAGGAGAAGTCACTATTGAACTATTGAACCAACTGGAGGATAACAATCACAAAGCATATATTCTAAAGTTCAACGAGTCAACACCAGATAATTCTAAGAATAGAGTTGTAGAACAAGGAAATGGTTGTGGTTGGGGTTTTCATAGATTTGTTTCTCATTCTGAGTTAGGCCACATTACTGACACCAACTGTTGCTACCTCCTCAATGATTGTCTTCATTTTAGAATAACTGTGAACGCTACCTACAATAAACCATGGCTTCTTTGATTCACTTTGTTCTAAAGCTGTCATCAATGGCTTCTTTGATTCACTTTGTTCTAAAGCTGTCATCATGTGCTAATTCTAGCCTACATTGGATTTATTATTTAATATTACGTGTGTTATTTTTTGTTGATGCACTTTCATTTTTAGAAACATGCAATCAGAGCATTAGCTCCAACGGTATTTGCTTTTTAGTGAATAATAACAAGCCCTTCCCATAATTATGCCACACCTTTATTTCCACATGCAACCATATGGTCTCCAGCACAGATCTATGTCTCCAGAGGGTATCATCTTTATACTTGAAGAGGTACTGGCAAGAGAGGTGAGGAAAGTGTTTAGGGGTCGAGACTGAAATTATCCACACTTCAACTGTTTTTCATTTCGTGAAAATGGTAGCTCCTAATAGATGTGGTGGGTATACAATTACTCATTACTTGATGATGACCTTTGCATGAGAAGTATAACTGTACTATATGTTAGACATGGGGTAATATGTAAGAGTATGATTACAATTATTGGTGTAATAGTAATAATAATAGTAATTGAAAAAAAACAAAATCCATTGTAATAGTAATAGTAATATGAAATAGATTCTCAGTAGTAGTAACTGTAATTGAAATTACAATGTAATATGTGTTGATTACATGCATGCTGCACTTGACAGTTCATAGAAATCATTAAGCATCAATTTGTCAGTGCCACTGTCAGGAGGAACTTTTTGTGACACACCTGATTCTTTTAAAGTTACTTGGTCATGTGTAGAGGGCACGTTTTTATATCAAAAGCTTTTATTTATGTACATGTACCTTCACGTAAAAGTAATAATTATATAATCCAATTACAATAATAAAGTAATAGTAATAGTAATATAATATAATTACTTTAGTTTAGTCAAGTAATGTAATGGTAATAGTAATATCAAAAATTTTCTGGTACTAGTAATTGTAATAGATTACATTTTAATGTAATTGACCCCATGTCTGCTATAATATGCACGTTTGTAGCTCGTGATCCACAGCAGGTCACCTGTTGCTCACATATATATTGTATGAGCTGTGATCTGCTCCACCATAAGCAGAAATTGACCTGAGCTTGAGCATGGCTTGGATGAAGGGAAGCAAGCCAGGCCATTGTGTCAGGCGGAGTAAAATGAATTTCTTTGCTGTGCATAGAAATTGTGATACCCATCATAGTGCGTGTGAGCAATGACATTAGGCTGTCCAATCCATACGTTGATTGAGGATCAAGACAGATTAGGTGATAATAACTCGTCGATTGGTTCTACATCACCAAACGCCCACTCACCTAATAAATCAATCTCACTAGTGAGGTAGTGATATCAACCTGGCAAAGGATTCTCAAGTCTTTTAAAAAACTCTTGACCGGAGAGAGAGACATTCGTTTTGTAGGGATTGAGACACTTAGCGTAAAGGAGGAATGGTTTCCTGGTATTGTAATACGGTCCAAACCAAGGGTTGTTGTTCTCATATACTCCATCAAGTCTCTCTAGCTTAGAACGCAAGTATTGAGGGGACCAAAGCTTCCTGGCATGCGACTTGTTAATAATAGAGTTTCTGATGATAAGTGGTTCTCCGTTCTTTATTGCAGCTCCTGCAAAAGGTGCTTCTTGATCCGGGAGAGAGATGACAGGTACTGTATGTATGGTTGTATACTCTATCCCCTCTCTCTAAGGAACACATACCATATCAGGGCAGTACACAGGCAACTGAACAGGAAAGCTCCTCCAAAAGTTAAGTAAATCTGGCACTCGGGAGATATTAGTGAAGATTCTGCTTCATGTATCTCTTCCCTCCCTTTTAAAACAGAGGATTTGTCCTTCCTTGTCGATTTATTTCGTTTCCTAGTAGACGCCATTTATATACCACAGTATAGACCCTCCCAATCCCCCGCCTACAATCAATTACGACACTAGACAGACAGGGATCACTGGACCAGCTACTCATAGTAGACTAGTATAAACCATAGAGCAAGGGGCTAAAGGGAGGAATAAGTCAAGAATATAATCAAGAAATAAGAAATTAGGTGAGGAAAATGCATCCACACCATTTAAAATACTGACATTTTTTTAGAAGTATGTATATTAGGCCTAGCCTTATTCTAATTTGATGTGAAAATATGGCTGGTAATGAATATGGTGGTTACAGTTACAAGTTTGTTGATGCTGATCTTCCTGAGAAGTATAACTGTGCTATATGTACGTTTGTAGCCCGTGATCCACAGCAGGTTATCTGTTGCTCACATATATATTGTAGCAGCTGTCTGCTAAAGCACAAACAGAAATCTGGATCATTATTTAACTGCCCTAGCTGTCGTGAGCCTCTTGATGGCAGGTATTTTCCTGATGGAAGGATTCAGCGAGAGATAAAGGAGCTAAGAATCTATTGTCCTAATGATGAGTGCCAATGGAAAGGAATCATTAAGGACATAGAGACTCATATTACTGAATGTCCATACCAGAGTATTGAGTGCACTAATGGCTGTGGAGAGAACCTGCAAAGAATGAAAATGGAGACACATGTATCCGAGGAATGTCTTAAGCGTATTGTTACTTGTACACATTGTGAAGAGACTGGTGTTCATGAAATAATATCTACCAATGCTCACTTAGACGTGTGTCCTTTCTTTCCGATTAAATGCACTAATGATGAATGTGATGTAATTTCTCCTCGTAATAAGTTATCAGTACACAAAAGGACTTGTCCTAAGTCTATTGTCACATGTGAGTACAGCCAGTGTTGGCTGTTCTAAGAGGATGAAACTAGAAGTACAAGAGGAGCACAATGAATCATTTGTAAAGGAACATCTTCAACTAGCAGTCAATGCATTGCATAATCGATTGCCTTCAAATTCCAAGGTTTTCAAGCTCAGTGATTTTAGCAATAAGAAATCAAAAGATGAAAGGTGGTACAGTTCTTTCTACACGTCACCAAGAGGCTATAGGATGAAATTGGATGTTCATGCTAATGGTGATGGTAATGCTGAAGGTACTAGTGTGTCTTGCTTCATTTATCTTGTAAAAGGAGAATATGATGATAATTTAGAGTGGCCATTTCAAGGAGAAGTCACTATTGAGCTATTGAACCAACTGGAGGATAACAATCACAAGGTATGTACTATGAAATTCAATGAGTCAACACCAGACCGTTGTAAGAATAGAGTTGTAGAAGGAAGAAATGGTCATGGCTGGGGTCGTCCTAACTTTGTTCCTCATTCTGAGTTAGGCCACAATGCTGACACCAACTGTTGCTACCTCCTCAATGATTGTCTTCATTTTAGAATAACTGTGAACGCTACCTACAATAAACCATGGCTTGTTTGATTTACTATGCCCTGATAGGCTGATACTGATGCTAGCCTACATTGGATTTTTATTTAATATTATGTGACATTTTTTTCATTGCTGCATTTTCATTTTTAGAAACATGCAATCAGAACATTAGCTCCAACTGTACCATATATGCCATATATTTTGTGGGGATTAAATTTCACGATTTTCGCATTTTGGAAAAATTCGCGAAATTAAAATCCACAAAATAGAATGCTGATTGTATAGTAGGTGTGGTAATTACATTTAAATCGGGAAATTTTTATTTGCAAATACAAAAATGCAGCAGAATCATGAAATTTTATACCCACAAAATATATGGCGTATACGGCATTTGTTTTTTAGTGTAATAATAACAAGCCCTTCCCATAATTATGCCACGCTCTTATTTGCACGTGCAACCATATGGTCTCCAGCATAGCTCTATGTCTCCAGAGGATATCATCTTTATTAGAGGCAGGCCCATTAACTACTGGCAAGAATAAAGAGGTGAGGAAAGTGTTTAGAGTCGAGACTGAAAGTATACTGTTTTTAATTTCGTGAAAATGGCAACTCCTAATTGATGTGGTGGGTACAATTACTCATTTGTTGTTCATGATCTTCCGAAGAAGTATAACTGTGCTATATGTACGTTTGTAGCTCGTGATCGACAACAGGTTATCTGTTGCTCACATATATATTGTATGAGCTGTCTGCTCCACCATAAGCAGAGATCGACCTGAGCTTGAGCATGGCTTGGATGAAAGAAAGGCCCTAAGATACAAGCCATGCAGGCCATTGTGTCGGGCGGAGTAAAGTGAATTTCTTTGTCCTGTGGAGCTGTGCATAGAAATTATGATACCCATCATAGTGTGTGTGAGCAATGACATTAGGCTGTTCAATCCATACGTTGATTGAGGATCGAGACAGATTAGGTGAAAATAACTCGTCGATTGGTTCTACATCACCAAACGCCCACTCACCCAATTGATCAATGTCACTAGTGAGGTAGTGATATCCACCTGGCGAAGGATTCTCAAGTCTTCTAAAAAACTCTTGACCGGAGAGAGAGACATTTGTTTTGTAGGGATTGAGACGCTTAACGTAAGGGAGGAGTGGTTTCCTGGTGTCGTAATACGGTCCAAACCAAGGGTTGTTGTTTTCGTATACTCCATCAAGTCTCTCTAGCTTAGAACGCAAGTATTGAGGGGACCAAAGCTTCCTGGCACGCCACTTGTTAATAATAGAGTTTCTGATGATAAGCGGTTCTCCATTCTTTATTGCAGCTCCTGCAAAAGGTGCTTCTTGATCCGGGAAAGAGATGACAGGTACTGTATTTATGGTTGTATACTTTATCCTCCTCTTTCTGAGGAACATATGTAATGACTTATATACATTAACTCTCAGTGATTATTACATTTGTGTATTACTTTATTATTATGTGTGTATGTGTGCGTGGGTGAGTGTGCATGCTCAGTGTGAAGGATTTGGAACACATGTTTTGTTATTTTTATGGTTTTGTGTGATTTGGATCTCTTCTCTATTTGGATTCTTTGTAATAATTTGGTCAACTATCTTACACATATACTGTGCCATTAGCTAGGGCAGTACACATAGGCAGCTGAACAGGAAAGCTCCACCAAGAACGGTGAAGTAAATCTGGCACTCAGGAGATATTAGTGAAGATTCTGCTTTATGTATCTCTTCATTCCCTTATAGAACAGAGTATTTGTCATTCCTTGTAGCTATACTGTACTGATGAAAGTTAAAAAGTTTTTATGGAACCATTTTCTTAGCCTCTTTTAATGTCGATCACTCATGCACCTATCACTTATTATGTCCATGCAATAAATGTTCCCACTCCCCAAAACTCCTAATTTTTCATCATTTTAATATACAGTTTTAAATTTTTAATGTAGTGTAACTTAATTAGTTTTTACTGTTCTTTAGGCTCTTCGACCAGGGATTATATCATAGCCTAGGCTAACATGTCCAGAAATGAGTGGACACGGATTAGTATACAAAGCAATTTTCTCCGTATATTATTAAATTCATTTATACAGGGCAGCAATGGGCTTATCCTATATCTCTCCTTACAAGACAAACTATCAAAATGTGAGCATATGTGGCTGTTCCTAAACATTATACTGGTGTTCTTGCTGAGTTTCATCTAGATTGGAGAAACTTTGTGTGGAACATTTCCTGTTTGATTGAGGGGTAGTCAGATTCAGACGTCGCCATTTTCCCATTCATTTTATATGTAAAATTTCACTCAATAAATTTCAATTTTTTGTATAGTTATAACAAAAAAAAAATAAAGTTTTGACAAAATGTGAGCATAATTTGTGATAGCACAACATTTTTACAACCCAATGGTACAAAAAAAGAAAGGATAACTTAAACTTTGCCTGGAACATTCGTCAAGTTTATATAGGGTAGTCAAGGGTAAAATTGCAATGACGCCATTAATTTGTAATGGCTTCCGTGTCAACATAAGTGCCTTTCTGAGGCTTTCTCCTCTTCAAAACTCTTGCTACTTGCTTCATAAGCTCTATAGCCAATGATAACAGCCTGTTATACTTAAAAGTAAGACTTTCTTGGCCTGAAGATAACAGTGAAGCTGGTAGCCCAAGCGGCCTAGCTCAGTCCAGTACATGCCAGGCCTTCCACCACCATCCACATTGGCTACAAGTATTTGAGTGTTTTAGAGAATACTACACTGACCAAGTAAGTGTCTAACATCTTCTCCAAACAAAGAATACCACGGAGATTCTTTTAAAGCAAGAATACAACTGCCACTATGTAGTCCGATGTAGCAGTTCCACGCTTGCCGTCTAAACAAACAAATTAAAAAAAATAACTCCTCCTGCTTGGTCCACAAGACTTGTAGAAAGCTGTCATAGTCCAATAAAGTCCCAGCTTCACATTATATAGAAGTTATATTGCTTCAAACAGAGACCTTACATCTCCATTTCTTCTTCACTATTACTCGTTACCATGGTAATATTTAATTATTTCAATGAATATCATTAAATTTTAACGACCGGAAGTTCCATTCCAATTTCTGGACATGATATAATAAAAAAGCATGGTTACGTTAGTATATTATATCCCTGCTTTGACTCGGTCACTGAGTCCTTCAGAGACATCTTTTCTATTTTTTTTCCTTTTATTTGTTGACTTTGTCTTGGTAAAGTTATTATTTATTATTATTATTACTTTGTTTTCTATTTGACGCCATTTTAAAACCCCGCCTGTCAAGGCACACCCATGCCTACCATTGGCTGGCGGCTGGCCATCCAATCCAGCTGCAGTCTACAGGCTGGCAAGTGGCAAGAAGGCTCAAACTGGCAAATTTAGAATCTGAGCAAGAATAATAAAAGAAATCAGGTGAGGAACATATCCACACTTTAACCATTCAAAATTTATTTTTAGAAGCTTAGACTTACTAGTCGTGTCACTTTTTGATGTCAAAATTTAGCTTGAAATATGGCTGCAAATTATGATAAATATGGTGGTTACAGTTACAAGTTTGTTGATGCTGATCTTCCTGAGAAGTATAAATGTGCTATATGTACATTTGTAGCTCGTGATCCACAGCAGGTTACCTGTTGCTCAAATATATATTGTAGCAGCTGTCTGCTAAACAGGCTAAAGCACAAGCCGAGGCACAAACAGAAATCTGGATCGTCATTTAGCTGTCCTAGCTGTCGCAAGCCTCTTGATGGTAGGTATTTTCCTGATGCCGGGAAGGATTGATCGAGAGATAAAGGATCTAGGAGTCTATTGTCCTAATGATGAGTGCCAATGGAAAGGAATCATTAAGGGCATAGAGACTCATATTACTGAATGTCCTTACCAGAGTATTGAGTGCAGTAATGGCTGTGGAGAGAATATGCAAAGAATGGAAATGGAGACACATGTATCCAAGGAATGTCCTAAGCGTACTGCTACTTGTACACATTGTGAAGAGACTGGTGTTCATAACATAATATCTACCAATGCTCACTTAGACGTGTGTCCTCTCTTTCCCATTACATGCACTAATGATGAATGTGATGTAGTTTCTCCTCGTAATCAGTTATCAGCTCACAAAACGACTTGTCCTAAGTCTATAGTCAAATGTGAGTACAGCAGTGTTGGTTGTTCTAAGAGGATGAAGCGAGAGGTACAGGAGGAGCATAATGAATCATTTGTAAAGAAACATCTTCAACTAGCAGTCAATGTATTGCAAAATCGATTGCCTTCAAATTCCAAAGTTGTTAAGCTCAGTGATTTTAACAACAAGAAGTTAAAGAATGAAAAGTGGTATAGTTCTCCTTTCTACGCCTCACCGAGAGGTTATAGGGTGAAATTAGGTGTTATTGCTAATGGTGATTGTGATGCTAAAGGTACTCATGTGTCTGGTTACATTCATTTTGCACATGGAGAAAATGATAATGATTTAGAGTGGCCATTTAAAGGAGTTGTCACTATTGAATTATTGAACCAACTGGAGGATAGCAATCACAAAGTATATACTCTGAAATTCAATGATTCAGTACCTAACTCTTGCAAGGATAAAGTTGCTGAAGGAGAAATTGGCCGTGGCTGGGGTTGGCATGAATTTGTTCCTCATTCTGAGTTAGGCCACAATGCCGCTGACACCAACTGTTGCTACCTCCTCAATGATTGTCTTCATTTTAGAATAACTGTAAACGCTACCTACAATAAACCATGGCTTGTTTGATTCACTATGCCCTGATACTGAGTCTGATGCTAGCCTACATTGGTTTATCATTACATGACATGTTATACGGTAGCTATTTTTCCTTTGATGCATTTTCACTTTTAGTAACACGCAATCAGCTCAGCTCAGGAGCCCATTAACTGTATTTGTTTCTAGTGGATGACATTAAAAGTTAATAACAACATATTAGCGTAATTTCATAATCAAGTGCAGCCTCTCATATTATCAAGAGTAGATAATAATAGAAGAGAGTGTCCTACTGTGATATGCCCCCTGCTGCATCACGGCGTAGAATTGAAGAGTCACATTCAGGATATTTTCAGTATTTTATTTGAGTAGTTATTATATTGCTAGTTATTTTTGAATAACTACTCAAAAATACTGAAATTATCCTGAAT